CGCGACGTGGAGATCTCGCAGGTCACCATCATGGGCATCATCCGGCACGCCGAGAAGGCGCCCACCAACATCCTCTACAAGGTGGACGACATGACGGCCGCCCCCATGGACGTCAGGCAGTGGGTTGACACCGATGTAAGCGCCAGCAGGGCCCCACACAGGTCGTGGAGGGGACACGGGTGGGCCCGGCTGCTGGACGAGGGGCACAGGGCACGAATCTAATGTTGGCTCTACCCTTGCTGTTTTAAATGGGGAGAAAATCTCAGAATTCAGGTGTTCTGAGTCAAACTGAGGTGCGGCTACCTGAAAGGAGGTTGTAGTGCAGCGGCACTTGGTCTCTTCTGCAGAACATCTACCAACAGGAGAAGTGAAATAGCCTGAAGTTGCGCCAGGGACGTTCAGGTTATACATTAGGAAGAATTTTTACACAGAAAGAGTGGCCAAGCATGGGGACAGGCTGCCCAGGGAAGTGGTGGAGCCACCGTCCATGACAGTGCTCAAGAATCGTGTAGATGAGGCACTTGGGGACATGGTTTAGCAGGCAGGGTGCTGATGGCTTTATGGTTGGGCTCAGTGATCTTGAAGGTGTTTTCCAACCATAACAATTCTATGATTTCTAGTGATTCCATGCATTAAACACCCTGTCACATTTTCCATTTGTCTTCTGTTTGTGTTTATATACCTTTCATTAACAACATAATATTTTGTTGAAAAAATATTTGCTGTTTTGGAAAACGTTTGGGTAATTTCATACCTCAGGAAACCACGGAAGACCTTGCTGTAGCAGGGCTTGCTGACATTGTACAGAGCTCTCCTCCTGCTTTAAAATCCATGTGTGGTTCCACATTGAAGTTCACTCACAGGTTTTTCTATTTTTCACTTGTAATAACTGGTTTTATTGGATGTAGGGATGTATGGCTTTGGGGCTTGCTTGAGATAAGCCTCCTTTCTCAAATCCCTTGCTGTACTAATGGAGAAATGATAATGTGAGTCAGCAAAACCTTATTTCTTTTTACTATTTTTCCTTCTTTTAAGGAGGCAGGTGGTGAGAATGTTGTGGTACCTCCGGGAACTTATGTAAAAGTAGCTGGTCATCTTCGTTCTTTCCAGGTAAAATAACATTATTTACATAAGATTATTCCAGGAATGGGGTTGGAGTGGTGGCTTGAAGGATTAGTGATCTTGAAGGATTCTTTTAGACTGTCCAGTTAATCGTGATCTTTGTTCAGCCTTTCCTTGAATATTTTTGACAGCGCCGTATTAATTACTTTGATCCTAAATGCAAAGGATCCATTTCAAATGCCACTGTTGATGAGTTTTCTGCTGAACAGTCCTGGCCACTCTCTTCTTGGGTGTTTGTCTTGTAGAAGTTAGATCTCATTCTGGTTACTGGGGGACACTATTTAGAGGGTGATAATGTCATAGAGGTGCTTCGTAATAGTCACTGTTCAGATAGTGATGTGCACATAAAAGTGTGGATAGCCAATTAGAAAACTGTATGTATATGTATTTTTTTTTAGGGTTTATCCATTTGTCTTTATCATGTGAATTAATCTTAAAATGTATTATCTTACTATTGAGAAAGGAGGGGTTTCTTAGCACAACTTTTTTAAAAACTTTGCAATGTGGCTTTTCCTTTCATAGGTTGTTGCATTTTGTTCTGTTTGGGTTTGGTAAGCAGCCAGTGCTGTTGCTGTTGTGTCATTTATATGGATAGAAAGCCAGGAGCCATTGACCCAAATTCTTGTCCCATCATATGAGGAATTACTCAGCCTATGCTGAATTTACCAGTCACATATGAAAACAAGCCCCAAAACTTAGGCACTAGTTACCTGCAGACAAGCCCCCTATCCAACACTATCCTTGTTCCTAGAAATTGTTGGATTGGATGTTGTGTGTTCCTGTGGGCAATGATTTTTGTTCTTTCTTCCTTTTTTTTCCCTTCTCTGAAAGAATAAGAAGAGCTTGGTGGCATTTAAGATCATGCCTCTAGAAAACATGAATGAGTTTACCACCCACATCCTAGAAATCGTCAATGCCCATATGATCCTCAGAAAAAATCTTATGGTATGTACCTGGAGATCCTGGCACCTTAACCCTTGCACTGACTGCGGAGGTTGTTGGTTGTTTCCCAGAGGGATGGACCTCTTCTTTCCCTGGGGAATTGTATTCAACTAGTGAGGCTGAGAAGCTCGAAATCGCTGGGGGGCTGTGGTGAAGAGGTGGCAGGAACGCTGGCTTCCCCACCAGGAAACTGTGCTGCAGTCCATTCCAGTCGTTACTTTGGGGAGTTTATTCTTCATTGCCATGTGTCTGAACTAACATTCAGTCTTTCGCTCTTGCAGTCGGTGCCCAAAATGCCGCAGTCGTTCCCCTCTGCGGGGCTGGGCGACGTGGGGGGCTACGGCGGCGGTGGCAGCCTGCCCGTGAACGGGCTCACGGCGCATCAGAGCCAGGTGGGTGCCAGCAGCGAGCTGCTGCTCCGGGAGGGCAGCGCTCACGGGGGCTGCTACAGAGGGACCGAGTGGGACAGAGAAATGGAGTTCAGGCGGCCGGTGAAGACCGACGGCCGCTCCTCGGCCTTGCTGTAACTGTCCGGCCATGAAGGACGCATTCGGTTGTGCGCGGGGATGTGGTGCTGGCCTCGCTGAAGGCCAGGTGTCCTAGCAGGAGTTTTGGTGCTCCTGTGAAAGGAGCTAACGTTTAGCTCCTGTAAATGCAGCGAGCATTTTCCAAAGGCTGATGGAATGGGCATGTCCGTGGTGCTCTTGGTACTGCGAACACGTGGGGCAGAAGGAGAGGAGGAGACACCGTA